TTACAATTCGACGAGTTTCTTACTAAGCAAGTGACCAAGTTAGACTCGAGGCTTACTTGGAAAAGACCTCCTTTGTCGTCTTGGTTTTCTTTCCCTTCTGAAGAAAAGAAGAGCTTGGTAGCAGTAATGGTCATGCTAACAAGCTTGATATCATTCTCTGGATAGACAAAACTCTTCGTTACATTTCCAAGCAGACCAACACCATCTCTTTCAACAATAACTTCGTAAACCTTTCGCTCAACATCACTGCTAACAAAAAGGATTTCATCCGATCCAGAACATATTGAGTCAACGCTACGTATATCAACATTCATGTGAACAATGTCTGTTCGTTTTTCCTCAGAACCGTACTTAGCGCGTAACTTTTCCATTTCTGCATTCATTCTACTCTTAAGGTCACGAACATTTCCGGTGGCGTCGATTCCCCTCATCGTGAGTTGGGCAATAAAATCTGCTTTCCTGAGAGACTGAATTTTAATCGACACGGTATTTGTGTGTTCCACCACAACAATACCATCTGCAGAACAGACATAAACTAAACCATTTGAGACACACAACGATTTGGCATTGGTAAGCTTTTCTCTGCAAACGGTTAAACGAACTGGATTATGTAGCTGGAGCTTCACAAGCTTACTGTGAGAATTCAAAAGAGAAAAATCTAGCATAAACAAGATTCCACCGTCTGCATTCGCAATTGACACTGGATGGGGGTAAAAACCGACTTTATTATCTTCTGTGAATTTAAATCGCTCGGATACAAGGGTATGGACGACCAACTCAACATTTTGAACAGCATGAACAAAACCTTCTGCTGTTAAATCAAGAATTGGGTCAACGGCCATGCGATCTTTGTTTCTTACAGCTTCGCCGTCCTTAAGAAGTTTTCTGAACGACTTCCTTGTTTCGGGATCGCTGTCATCTCGTAAAGTTCTCAGCATAGCTAAATTTGATCGTTGAGCGTCAAGTAAAATATACCAGTTTGCAAAGGAACACTTCAGGCTTTTCCCCACATGGATTGCATCAGGTAAGCCAACCATTAAAGCAAGCTCTGGTTCAATAGTTCCATCTTCTAACTGATTGTTTATTTGTTCCAATGCTTTCTTGTTGCCTTCCTCGCAATCACTAGTGTATACAAATACTGCAAGCTTAACACATTTTTGCCCTTTCCCCAAACATTTTGCAGAAGCCCTACATGCAGGAAAGTAGGAAAGTTGACCTTTTGTTTTACAATCGTCACATACTTCTTTTGTTTCCCAGCACTTATTGCAAAAACAATGGCAAACATGTTCTTCAACATCAATAATATGTTCCACGGTATTTGCCTGAAAAAGGCACTCTTGGCAAATCTGTATTTTTTTTGTCTCAGACTTAAACTTTTCTGTCATATTTTCCCCTGTTTTACCGGACTTTGACATGTACTCCACTGAGCAAGGCATTGCGATCTCATTGTCCAGTGTTGTCAAAAATGACACACTTGCTTCAGTCACTACTGCTTGCTTTAAGAACTCAGATGTAGGTTTAGGGTTTTCCAAAACGAAGGCGAGGTCAACATCAACATTGAGCCCCACAACTCTTTTCATTCGTTCGTCGAATCGAAGCCCCGGCTTTAGGGCAGTACCATCGTTGGCTATCGCAATTTAAAACACTTTTACCACCGATGTATCTACGAGAGGCGTCACGTTGGTAGATTTGTCTGCAAGTTTGATTGCTGTTGTTACAAGGTCTCGTAGAACGCCACTTCTTATAGTGTATCCAGCTTGACGTTTCGCACAAGTGGCTGACGATGGGCCATGGAAGTTTCCTCTTTTAGTTTCACTTTCAAAATGACCTTTGCCCTTTCTTCCTTGCCCATGCCAAGCTGGTCCTCTCAAAAAATTGGCCGTGCTTTCTCCACCAAGATATCGAATTGTATTCAATCACCTCGCCATCGTATTGATGGGATCGTTGGTTGATAAAGCAGTAAACGACATCTTTGATGTGTTTATAAAATATATCATCCCTGGATATTGTTCCATTTCTCACTAACTGATCAAGCTTGATACACACATCGTCGGCTGCCTCTATGCTAACAGGAAAACTAGACTATCGCTATCCACATCTGAATCTACCCCATGTTCGTCATTTGCACTGATATCACTGTCCGAATAAACGGATGTCGCATTGCTGCTGGCGTCTGTCTCTACCTCATTGTCACTGCTTACTTCGCGATCCGAGTCTCCACAAAGTCTGCAAATTGAGATTGAGGTGAGATGCGTGTACTTTTATTACCTGCATGTTACTGGCAATATGTAGAGAAACTTTAATTGAAATATAACGTTACCGAATTAAAAATTTATAAAAGGAAAATCATCAAGACGTTCTACATGGTAAACGTTTATTAGCTAATATTATAAAACATGTTTACACGCAGTTCTGTGCTATGATATAGATTAAAATCAATTTGAAACTAAACCCTGTGGAAGTCTGTAGCACCATTACAATAAAATTACATGTGCTATATATACAGTAACAAAGAAAACGCTTCTCTTTAGTCCTTACACATTCTGTGATTTGTCAACTTCGGTCACTGTCAGCTCCTCATCTACATCTGAATCAATAACATATTCTTCACATACTAGCTGTTCAGGCTCTTCAGGTTTATTGGAATTGGCAGTCACAGCCTGATTTCGAGGTTTTTTGGTAACAAACAACTCTATACTTTGTGTTTTGCGCTTTCTACTTTTGTCCTTCTTCTTTAGACATGTGTCAAAATGTTCTACAGATGTACAAATTAATAAACATTGTCTTATTGTATTTCATTTTCTACTGTAAGAATATTGATATTTTAAGTGATGTGATATGAACATTTGCTTACTGGATTTAAAGTAATGGACCTTCCCCTTAACTCTGCGATCAGTTGGCAATGACACCAGACTTCCACAAGTTACACACCGGGCACTGATCTCATTAACTTCATCAATATTAGCACATTCTTTCAATTCTTGTTAAAAAAAGGCAAAGATGTCACATTTGGTACAGCAATAAATATTGTATTTTTTTTCCTTAAACAAAAAATTGTTTCACTTAATGCACAGCCAGATTTACTCATTCTGGTTTATTCATAGGCCATACTGTAAACAGCCCTTGTTAAGTCGAAACAAAAAAATCTACAAAAGATAACACTACTTGAAAATAAATAGCAATTATGCACACCTTTCCTCAAGCTTTGAAGCTCTTTTAACTGCCGCTCATTTCTGTTAGCTTCCTGACCATTTTGCAATGCTTTGACAAGGGCTTGATCTTCAATTGTGATTTTGTTTTTCGGCCTACCCCTCATATGGCTTGAATCTTGATCTTTACTAAGAGCAGTTGCACATGAGGATTTCGACCCAGATGAAGAATCTGCTTTATTAACAACAACAGTAGGCTTCAATCCCCACAAAATGTCTTTTTGGAGAAGTGTCACTGTAGAAAGCATAATAAACATGGCTATTATCTTATAATGCATATGTATACCTACACCTCGATGGCATTTTTATACCACAGCTGTTGCAACATGCAACTGTAGGTGATGATTTGTGATCACATTCAAGTCATCTAAAAATTCCTCATGCATGAAGCTGAACAGAAGGACTTGCATGTCCTCAATGCATATTACATCAGCATGAGTTGATGATCTATGAACAGTATTGTTATTCACCTTGTAGCCATATACTTTGTTGCCCATCAATTTCTTTTGCCCAAATGTCCCACTGATCCTGGGTACGCACAGTGAAGACTTCTGCTTTTTGGCTACGTTTGTCCATTACACCCAGTGACAACTCATATGAACCCATTCCTTTTGATCGTGCAAACTCTTTTAAACTCATTGCTTTTGTTAGAAATTTTGGCAACTTGAATTGAAAAATAATTTAAAGTAACAAGTATTATTAAAAACCAGTGTGTTAAAGAAAAGTACACATTCTTAGGATAGTTTCTTTACCTCTGCAAAAGTCCCAAGCACACTAGCTGGTATTGACAACTTCGACTTTTCTTTGTGCACTGGCTCGTTTTGCCCTTTCATATAAGCCCATAGGAGTATATTCACAACCATATTTCACTTGAAAAATAAAAGTTCAATCATACATTCATTATGAATTATAGCATTATAATATATAGAAAAAAAGTCCCATAAAAGGCATTTTGACACTTAAAATATCATTGTTTTATATTTTTGAATTAAATAGTATTTTTGAAACATGTCACTGAAAATATATTGGTATATCCAAACGAGTGCAGGCTGTAATAAAGATTTAAACATATTATTTATATGCAGATTGCATACTTTACATACTGCACGCTAACACATGAAGCAAATCGCGTCAACGCAAAATTTGCAAACATGCACATGAAGCGAATCGCGTCAATCTGATAATAGAGATATAATAAACAACAATTGTTAACTTTACTATCTTTACTTAATACTTTCTTGAGTAAACAACAGTGGAATAACGTACCTTATATGATTATATCTAAAATTGTTTCCAGCCAAAAAAAGTCACCGACGAGCACATGTTTTGATTTTCGAAATTATAGTCTTTTGAGACTTTTAAGGATTGTTATGAACGTTTGTGGACATGCCTTGAGAATAATTCTTTTACCCATAATATTTAATATTACATCAAGTACCCAACTTTCTGTGTTTACCAAACCCAAGGAAAGAAGTCCATAAAATCAAACTCAAAAGTCTTACTGTTTCACGCAAAAATAGCTGTTCACGGAATCACACTTTATTCTAGACTTCGTTCACAGGTCACGCCAAAATCCAAAGTTTTCTTCACGCTCACGTAAAACTTTTCGATCACGAATCACGGATTAAATAAATCGCCGTTCACTTTTCACGGGTAAGAAAATGAGGCTAATCACGCTTCACGCAAAAGGTATAGGGGACCCTCTAATATCTCACGATGCAAAACAATAATGGATTTTTTTATTAATTGTTGGAAATCTCTAATCGTCGTTTAATTTTACCTTCTTTACAGGTGCATCCCAGGACAATTCATCTCGATGAATGTGAGACAAATAGAGAAATATTTGTGAGTTTAAGACCTGTTCTTCCTATCCGTAAAAAATCATACAAATTTGAAATCACATACAAAGATGAACACCGGGAAACTATAGGGAAAATATGCATCAGGGGATATATATCTCAGGGCAGATGCATAGCAGAACTTACAGACAGACACAATTTCCATCAACCTCTGTGGATCAGAGTAACTGCGGTATGCCCTTCAATAGAAACTGGAGAAAGCTTCAAAGAAGTGAAAGTCAAGTTTCATAACCCGACAATAAGCGACTTTACAAATAACCTATTCTGGTACAATTACGATTTCCTTCCTATAAAGGTAAATTTATAAAGAATTTTTTGAACTTAGAGTATGATGCACACATGACAAATTCTCTTAGCTAAGTAATGAGAAAACATGGCGAACTTTCATGATTTATCTAACGATTTGACCTAGGTCACTAACGATGTTAATGAGTTCACCTTCTGCTCGAAAACTTTCTTCACGAAGATTGTGCTAATGTATTACACAATTTCAGCTTAACACTAAATTCAGGATACATATCACGCAGATTTTATAAAGATAATTTTAATGCACACACGTTCTTCAGTATAGATGAAAGATATTCATATATTCATTTTGTGCGAGAATAATTTCTTTTCAAACGGATTGTCTTTACAGGTTTGTGAACATAAATATATGAATATGTAATCGTGCCTCGTACGCCCCTGCATGAAATGGTCAAATAATGATCTACAATATAGGCAAATGCAATCAGTATTACTTAATTGTTGGCGTTGCTTTACGGCTTATCACTGCTGTCTGAAAGTAGAAGCTCAAGCTTATTTGAAAATAAGAAAAATATCAGAGCGCGAAACAATGATATACAATTAATATTGAGAGCATTTTATCCCAGAGATAATGTCGCGTCCAATATTCGCGTTGAAGTAACCGAGGTTTTGCGACGTGTAACTTTACACAACTACAATCTTTCCAAAGAGCCGAAGGATACGATGAGGAGCTAAGGACAGAAAAGTCTATACACATTTTAAAGCTGATAAGGGAAACCCCACGGTTTTACTAAATCGTTTAGAATATGAAAGAGAAATTCGTCTCTTTTTGAGACTCCATTATATTCTTGGGACCCCACAACCATTATATTGAACGCAAATTATGTTCTAAACTATCTGAACTGAGATCTTATTGTAGTGTGTGTCCTAAATTTCATGTTTACCTAAAATACATGAATCAGGTGTACCTCTTAGCCTATATAGTGGCATCTCAATGTTCACCGACTTTTAATTCAGCTAAATATCTTGCCAGAAAATTAGAAAATTAAACGAGACTTACCTGGAAGTTGAAGTTTGATTGAAATTCTACGAGTCATTGGTCAGGAGCGAAGAAGTCACGTGAGATAGCGAGCGGAGTTCGAGCTTCAGTCTTTAAAGGGTATGCGAATGGCTGGCCATTCTAGGCTGTTGTAGCATGGGTAGGGTAATAATTAATGGCTGTTTTATTCAGCTCATAATTTGAAAGGGTGGGTGCGTGACTTCTTCGCTCCTGACCAATGACTCGTAGAATTTCAATCAAACTTCAACTTCCAGGTAAGTCTCGTTTAATTTTCTAATTCTACTTCGCCATTGGTCTAGTCGCTACGAAGTCACGTGAGATTTGAAAGCAATGGCCATGACATGAGCATAGAAACACAAAATTCTGAAAAAAAAAAATTTGATAACCCATGGAACTTTATTAACAACTTTAAGTAACGTTAAGTGATTGGAGTAATTGATGTCCAAAGTTTTCAGAATTTTTTGTAGCTTCTGCCATCAATGGTTTTTCATAAAATTTACTAAATGTCAAAGCATTCGTCCACCCCGCTGCCTGCATGATTGTGTTAACCGATAAGTTTGCTGTTTTCGCAGCTGAAGTTGAAGCTGCCCTGGTACTATGTGCATGAAAGATAGTCGTGTCGATTCCTGCTGTATCCATGACCGTCTTTAACCACCTTGCAATGGTGTCAGTGGTCACTGGCTTGTGTGGCCGCTGGTAGCTGATCAACAGTTGAGTTTGGTCTCCTCTAAGGGGCTTTGTTTTTGCCAGATAGACTTGCATAGTTTTGAAGATGCATAGCTGTTCATCTGCAGGATATGCTTGTAGCACCAGATGGCTGAAGTGTTTCCCAGGCCTCGATGTTTTCAATAGCTTGTTTATCTGGAAAACGTACTGTTGGTTAGGATGGCATACCACTTGCATCTCAGTGATGTCCAGCGCATGAAGGGTTTGACAACGTTGCCCCGAGAGCAATGCTATTAACATGGTTGTTTTTAATGTAAGCTCCCGAAGGTGCAAATCTTCTAATGGATGTAGTGTTTTTAAGAACTTTAGCACGATCGCTACATCCCACACACAGTGATATCGTGGCAGTGATGGTCTTGCTGTGAATACACCTTTAAGTAATCGACACACCAGTGGATGATTTCCAAAGGTACAGCCTTCAGGGGGAAATATAACCAAGGACAGAGCAGATCGTGCAGTGTTCATAGCACTGTATGATAGGTTATTGTTATCATAAAGTCCACTAAGGAAATTGATACCTTGTGTTACATTTGCTGAAATGGGATCAATTTCCCACCTGCGACAGTACTGTTCCCACTGTCGCAGGTACGTTGTGTACTGTTTTCTGGTACCATGTCTCCAGGATTGGAGTATAATGTTTGTAGCTGCTTCCGAAAGTCCTTGACCCTCGAGTAATCTCCTGACACTTTGCATAGTAGGAGTCGGATTGTCTTGCTGAGTGGATGAATCCTCTGGGGCTCTGATGGTAGATACAGAAGATCCTGTTTCCTAGGTAAAATAATGGGTTTTGTAATGAGCATATCTGCTAAGTAAGGCCACCAAGACTGTGTTGGCCAGTGGGGCACAACTATTAGTCCTGTGGCTTTCTCACGATACACCTTATGCAGGACCTTCAGGATAATGCTAAATGGGGAAAAAGCATACCACTTGAGGTTACCCCAGGAAATGGTGAAAGCATTGACTGCTTGTGCCCCTGGGTCGGGGTGGTATGAAATATAATTTTTACATTTATTATTGATACGAGATGCAAACAAGTCTATATCTGGTGTGAATCCACACTCAATTACTGCCTTTTGAAAAGTCTGTGGGTCTAGTGCCCATTCTGTTTCAGATCTGACTTTCCTAGATTCTTGGTCAGCTATGACATTTTCAACACCCGGAATATGGGCAGCAGTTAACCAAATATTACGGTTTAAACACCACTCCCAGATGTTAGTGACTAGGCAATTCAAATCGGGAGAATGGCATGTACCCATTTGGTTTAAACATGACACAGCCGTTGTATTGTCAACAAGAACTCTGACATGTTTTCCACCAACTACTTGCTCAAAAGACTGTAGGCCAAGCAAGACTGCTTTAAGCTCTAAATAGTTAATGTGTTTGGAAGCCTCTTCTGGAGTCCATTGTCCTCCAGTGGGGGAATTTAGTATTGTGCACCCCCACCCTATTTTGGATGCATCTGTAGCAAGGGTATGGACAGGTTCACCATGGCTTACAACATTGTAGGCTGTTGTTATAGAGTCACCCCACCATTTGAGGTCTGCCTTCGCTTGAGGGGATAGTATCATAAATTTATCAAAGTCCCCTTTGTTTAAGTGTAGTGCCTGTGATTTATCCATATCCAGCCACCGATAATGCAGGGGGCCATACATTACCCCTGGCATACTGGAGGTAAGTAACCCTAATACTTGGGATACTTCTCGTATAGTGGGTGATGCATTTGTTAGCAAACTGTTACAAGTATCTTTGACTTTATTAGCCTTTTCGGGTGTAAGGGAAATAGTCATAGTAATTGAATTGAGCTGGAAACCCAGGAAAACAATTTTTTGTGTGGGTTGTAGTATTGACTTATCTGGATGAGTTACTAGACCCAACTTGTTAAACAAAGTTATAGTAGCTTTGATATTTTCAAAACATTGTTCGTAATCATTCCCTTGAAGGTATGAGTCATCAATGTACCCCACTGATAAATGGCCAGCTTGCCGAAGGGTACAATATACAGGCTTCATTAATTTGGTAAATTTCCTGGGACAGCAGGCTAGCCCATTTGGGTAGCAAGTAAATTGGTAGAGGGTGCCTTTCCACATAAATTTTAGATATTTCTGATGTCCTTTATCAATAGGGACACAGTAATATGCATCTTTTAAGTCAATTGATGCCATGTAGCAACCTGGTTTCATCATAGAAATAGCTGTCCAAATGGAATCCATTTTGAAATGGATGTACTCAACATAGTGATTGAGGGCTTTTAAATTCAATATCATTCGAAATGATCCATCACGTTTTTCACGAAGGAAAATAGGGGAGATGAACTCGCCAAGTTCATGGCTAGAGTGGGTTATAACCCCTTTGTTAAGCAAGGATAATATCTCGTTATCTAAAAATAGATTTTTGGACCCCTTCCACTCCGGTTGAAAAGGGGTGGTATTCTGAGCTGGATTATGTAAAAATGGTATCATTTCGCCTGATACAGACGTCAGGATTTCTGAGTCAGAAGTGATTTGCTTCCACATGTCTAAATAATGGGCGATTCGCCCAGCTATGAAGGAGCTGACTTGGCATTTAAAATATTCAACAAGACATGGGATAAAAGACTTGTATTGGCTCACCTCAATTGAATGTAATTGTGCAATGACAGTGTTTACTTCCTCATTTGAGGGTTTTGTCGTTTCTTTTCCTGGTTGTATTGGTTGAATTGGCGCCTCTGGTTGCCGCGGTATTTGGAATTGGTCGTCATTCGATTGTACGGCTGAGGCGCTCGCCCTAAAAAATGGCGCCCTTGGCCTTGGCGAGAGCTTTGCTGATAGCTTCGACTTTGCCCTTGAGGGCTTGTGATACTGGCCGTGGAGCCAATTTTATTTGTTGCCCGAATGTGTGTCAGTTCTGTCTGGAGGTCGTCGCCAAACAAGAGAGATGTCACAGGTACGCTCGAGGAGCACAACATGGCGTAGTCTCTGTGTAAGCTTGGCTTGATTCCTTCCCGTCGTCGTTGTGTTATTTCAAAACAAACATGACCAAGCAACGCTAATGCATCGGTATTCAGTCTGACAAGGTCATCCAGGCACAATTTGGAACTATCAGCTTTTGCCTTAAGCAAGTGTTCTGTGCTTTTTAAGACAATATGCCCGACCTTCGTTACCTGTTCTTGCAGGCGGGAAAATTTCAGATCTTTCGCCCGTGCGAAGCGATCAAGCTTTCCCCAGATTTCTGGGTTTACTTGTGTCACGGCGAGTTTCTCGCAGTTTGCAGGTCGGTGATACTTG